AAACACATCAAAGCTATCATGAATATTGGTCCAGCATTTCTTGGCGTTCCTAAGGCTGTTGCTAATATATTGTCTGCTGAGGGAAAAGACGTTGCCTTTATCAGGTCAGTGTTTATATATACATCACTGTCCTTTTTTATGCTATGTTGAATTCTCATTGGTAGCGTTACCTCTAACGGTTTAGAATTTGAGCAAGAAATCTGCTCTAATATGCAGAAAGGTGGTTTTTGGATGGTCTACACATTTTGCACCATAAATGTAGGAAATTTAAATGACTGCAAATTACTTCTAACAGAATTGGAGTTCGGTGCATTGTACGGATGATGTAATGAAGTCATCTTTTTAATTTTTTCCAGAGCCATGGCTCCTGGTTTGCTAGATTCGGAGACGTTTGGTTTCCAAACACTTCAACATGTTATGAGGGTTTCTCGAACATGGGACTCCGTTGTTTCTTTGGTGCCTAGAGGAGGAGAGACAATATGGGGCGACTTGAACTGGTCTCCAGAAGTAGAAAACATATGTCATAAATCAAAGGCGCGATACCTGCAATCTTCTTCAAAGGAAAACAATGGCAATGACACTGATGTCAGGAGGAGTTTCCAGGAGAAGGAGCTGCCAAAATATGGACGAATAGTTTCATTTGGCAAGGAAGCATTAGAATTACCTTCTTCACAGCTCTCAATTATTGATTCAAAGGTAAGAACTGCTCTCTAGTCCGCCTCTTTTTCTTTTAGATAGTTGCATTATGACAACTGATGTGTTGTCCATAATTGTATAAAATCAATAGGAATTTGTGCGTAAGAGTACATCCAGAAATTCCAATACATCATGTGGAGAAGTATTGACAGAGTATGACGAGATGAGTCGCAAAAGCATCAAGAAAGTTGCTGAAAATCAAGCATATACTGCAACAACTTTGTTAGATCTTCTCCGATTTGTGGCACCAAAAATGATGAAGCGTGCCGAGGCACACTTATCTCATGGAATAGCAGAAGATCTTGATGATCCAAAGTATAATCATCACAAGTACTGGTCAAATCCACTTGAAACCAAGTAAGTATGATTATGCTGTAATTCTCATTGCCAGATGATTAACTCTTGCCATTATCTTTCCACATCTGATTTGTAAAGTTAATCATAAGCGTTGTGCCTTTAAAGAAATTCCAGGGTTATATAATGAAGTCAGTGTATGCCAAGAATGCTGCTTTCTTAATGTTATTTGATATTTTCAGTAGTTAGTTAAAAGTCAGTATCCTTTTCCAGGTTGCCTGATGCTCCAGATATGGAGATATACTGTTCATATGGAGTGGGAATTCCCACTGAGAGATCATATGTCTATAAGTTGTCATCTTCCGATAAATGCAAGAGCATTCCTCTTCAAATCGATAGCTCTGCAGACGATAGTGACAACGGCTGCTTGAAAGGCGGAGTACACTTTGTTGATGGGGACGAGAGTGTACCAGTCGTGAGCGCTGGCTTCATGTGCGCTAAAGGGTGGCGAGACAATACACGTTTCAATCCCTCGGGCATCTCAACATACGTAAGAGAATACCAGCACAAGGCACCAGCAAGTCTGCTAGAAGGGAGAGGCACAGAGAGTGGTGCTCACGTTGACATTATGGGAAATGTTGCCTTGATCGAGGATGTTCTACGAGTTGCTGCTGGTGCCACTGGTGCAGAGTTGGGTGGCGATAGAATCTATTCGGAGATCATGAAAATGTCAGAGAGGATAAATATTCGGCTTTAACTGCAACAACGTGATTTTGATACAGGATTGAGATGAGAGTAGAGCACCAAAAACGACTACTAGACTGCGGGACACTGACTCAGAAAATGACTTGAGAGATATTTGACAAGAATGACTAGAGAAAAGACTTAAGGAGGAATAAGGACAAACTAAGTATGGGATGAGAAAAATGGGGCTAGCTAGATGGGGGACCTTTTGTATTGATTGTAAGTTTCTAACTGAAAAAGGAAAAAGAGAGTAGCATTTCTCACTTTTGTAATCTACAAGAATAAATTATCACCTCTTGTAATCAAGTCGAATAAGATTCTGGCTGTTCTTTAAAGGAATATCTTTAGCTCTGAGGTGTTTTATTCTGCTCATTTTTTGTTAAGTGGCTCATCAACAGTTAAACATTCTTTTTCAGTGTGGTAACATGACTTGTCTAGATTATTGGGAGAAATTAGAAACTTCTGGTAGAGCATTTGAAATCCGCCCGAATTACTTGAACTAAGGGTGGATTAACAGGAATGGCCCCGTAAGAGGTTGGTCTTAGCCGAATGTCCCCAAAATTGGCGGTAAGTTATTGCTCTTCAGGGTTTTTCTATCGGTAGAGTTTATGCTATATTTGCTCTATCTATTTGTTAAGGTGTTCATCAAAGTGCATCAAGTTGTCAGGGTTTTTTCTACCAGAATGGTAGAGTTTATACTATATTTAGAAGTCTACCCGATTGGTATAATTTTTCTATATTGTATTAAAAAAATATTATTCGACTTTGTAACTTCAATTTCGATCAAACCATTTAAAATCTGTTCCAGATGATCTCAAATTTGAAACAAAGCTTTCAAATACTAACACAAACAATCCTCAATCGCCAATTCAAATTTGAAACAAAGCTTTCAAATACTAACACAAACAATCCTCAATCGCCAATTCAAATTTGAAACAAAGCTTTCAAATACTAACACAAACAATCCTCAATCGCCAATTCGGTCAAATAACACCAAATCAAAAAGATCTTCTTTGTCTTCTTCAATATTTTTTAGGGTCCAACAATAGAATTTTGAACTTTTTACTAGTAAATCACTAAATTGGTGTAAATTTTAAATTTAAGCATAAATAATCAACATAGAAACGATTTTAACAATAATGAATCATTAACCTGTAGAATTTAAGCACATACATAGAACCGTCGCATCGGAAATTAAACAAAGAATGTACCTTCAGCCATAGTTGTTCAAGTATCGTAGAGTCGCCTTAGAAGAACCTTGACAGAAAACCTATGGAGCCTTCTAGCCTATGCCTATTGTTGGATACGAGAGTGATGAAAATTTATAGGTAGGCTAGGGACTCTTAGGCAAATACTTTAGCCTTAGGGATTTCTCCATAAATTACGATTTCTCCATAAATTACGATTTCTCTAAAGACTCCTAATAAAAAACGTTTCTTTCTATCAAAGAAACTATCATATATGCATAACTACAAAATATTATCTGATATATTATTTACTTGGGAGACAAAGGTAAATAATTTATTACCTTATATGTGGGCCACACTAGAAGTCTCTAGAAAAGACGGTAAATTTCTAAGATAACCTTCTACTTTCCACCACCAAATAAGAATTTTAAGCTCCAAGAACTATGATGTTTAAGTATAAAATAAGGATATTTCGCTAAGACCGACATTCTGCCAAGACCAGTTCCGTTGGGGGACATGCCGTTCAAATTTTTGGACAGTAATTAGCTGTTAGTATGAAAGCTTATGACGTTGATTGAAGATCTACTGCATTTGAAGTGGCTTTTAGTCTTTCTAGATTTTGTTTACAGAAATGAATGTGTCAAACAAACTCAGCTCGACAGCTCAAATAGTAATAGAGCAAGTTACCTAGTGAATTTTAGTTGGAACTACTGCCTATTATTCTAATCTTATACTAACAAAACTTCCAAACTTTTGACAAAGAAAAAGAAAGAAAACACAAATTATTTTGTTAATCGAATAATAGTTGATTAGGTGCAATTCAACCATATAGCTTATGGGAAAAGATAAAAGGTACTACAAAAAAAGAAGATTAAAAGAAGAGGAGAATGGCCAGTTATTATAGTCGGAATGAATTTACACAAAAAGAGTATTAGTGTAAATTTCACAAATGGTCATATAATTATTACACTACTTTTTTCAGCAAAGTCATCTAACTTTGTTTTCTCCCACAAAAATCATATAACTATGATTTTTTTCCCACAAAAATCATATAACATTATTTTCTCACACAAAAATCATAAAACTTTCACTAGATCACATAAAAATCACAGTGATCGGAAAATAAATTTTCTGGTACTATTTTCTTATATTACGGTTTTTCTATTTTTTATTTTTAGTCTAATTAATAATTACCCAAAAATATGAGTATATTTTTAGCCCTCCCAAAATAATAGCCGATAAAATATTTTTTATATATGTGTGTATTATATACATAGAACATACATATTCTATATATATTTTGGCTATCAAATACATTTAGTTTCGATCGGTCGGTTAATTTTATATATTTTTTTTAAAATAGGAATGACCCAATCCAGCCTGACCCAATAATCATATACGCAAGTTAAAATAATACGAAAAATGAATTCTTCCCCCATAAAAAATATAGTTCGGAATGCATGAGATTATGACAAAAAAAAATAAAGAAATAAAAGGTATAATTAGAGAGCACTTGAAATAAAAATGCTATCAATTTGATTAAAAATCTTGAAAAATAAAATAAAAAAAAAGATAGAATTAAGTATTATGTTTTGAAAGATTTACTATTCACTCTTAGTATTATTTTAATTTATATATATGAGTATTGAGACGGTAGGCTAGGTCGGGTTGGTTCATCCCTATTTTAATAGAATTATTATTTATTAGACTAAAAATAAAAAATAAAAATTACAAAATAATAATATACTACTGAAAAATTATATTTTCCGATCACTATGATTTTTGTGTGAGTTAATAAATTTTTTATGATTTTTGTGTGAGAAAACATAGTTATAAAAAAAAGTCATAGTTATATGATTTTTGTGTGAGAAAACAAAGTTATATAACTTTGGTGAAAAAAAGTCATAGTTATACGACTATTTGTGAAATTTACCCGAGTATTTATGGTTGAATTCTTTAATGTCTTAAGTTGAGGAATTGAAAAGGAAATAGATCTCATTGATGTAACCATTTCAACCAATTAGCCTCTCAAACACTACTTCCCATCTTCCCCTTTAAATAGTCCTTGCAATTCAGTCCATTTTCATCTCCACAAACACTTAAAATATTGAGTCAAAAGAGTAAAAACACACACACATATTATTCTTATTCTATTTGTGAAGGAAAAAAAAGGCTATATAATGAATATTTCAGGTGTTTTCAGGACTTCTTTGTTTATACTGGCTTTGAAGTTTTTGGTTATGGTCAATGGGCAGCCTTCGGTTCCAGCACTCTTCATATTTGGAGACTCAGTTGTTGATGCAGGAAATAACAACTACCTTAAAACTATTGTTAAAGCAAATTTCCCTCCTTATGGAAGAGACTTCCCTAAACACATACCAACTGGGAGATTTTGCAATGGAAAGCTCGCCTCCGATTTCACCGGTACTTATTTCCCTTGAATTTAAGTTATATACATTGACCTATTATAGCAGCTTAGTTACCATATTACAAGGTTAATAGTAATATTTATCATGGATATATCATATATGTACCTTATAGTAAATAATTTGATTGTGTAAATATTTTTTATATCGTCCCTACATGTAAACTCATTTTTCTTTTTAGCATTATTATACTTAATGTTACATGTAATGAAACAATCATAAAGTTGGTTTTAATTAACATTTGCACTGACAGAACTTGATTGGATTACAGAAATATAAACTAATGTTTGTCCTTAAATGTTCAATAATGCAGCTGAGAATCTTGGATTTACTTCATATCCACCAGCTTATCTTAGCAAGAAAGCCAAAGGAAAAAACCTTTTGATTGGAGCCAATTTTGCCTCAGGTTCATCTGGTTACTATGATACTACTTCTAGACTATATGTAAGTAGGAGTAGTATTTATTAAATTTTCTACAAATTCTGTGTCCAATATCTTATGCAATTGACCCGAGAAAAGCTTGTTTTGTTTTTCTTCAGGATGCAATTCCTTTGAGCAAACAGCTTGAGTTTTATAAAGAATACCAGAAGAAGTTGGTGGTAATTGCAGGGAAAGTAAATGCAACATCAATAATCAATGGTTCAATTCACTTAGTCAGTGCAGGAAGTAGTGATTTTGTTCAAAATTACTACATTAATCCTCTGCTATACAAAGTATACACTCCTGATCAGTTCTCAGACATCCTCGTCAAATCCTACACTAAATTCATTTTGGTACATCTTTTTTCTTGTACACTTTTCAGGGCTAATATGCTTGTGATCAAGTCATTGCGCCACTTACCTGGATGGGGTCAATGGGCGATCAAGAAAGCCCATGGCCTAGGTTGATGACCTCCATTGCACTTTGGAGGGGCGCCTGCCTAAAGTCGGCCCAAGAGGTCGAGCCTATGTCATAATTTGTGGCCTGCATTCACGTGGCTAAAAAAAAGTCATTGTGTCATTTCCTTACAAACAACCTTTTTTGTACTAATTATGATTTTTTATTTAAAATACTGAAATGAGTTTAACTTCTATATAATAATGATAGTGTAAAAGAATTTTTAATATGGAATATAAGACAAATTACCAGCAACGTACTGAAATTTTGTACTAATTATGTCTTGTGATTGATAGGAATTGTATGGACTAGGAGCAAGGAAGATTGGAGTGACAACAGTACCACCAATTGGATGTTTACCAGCATCCATTACAATATTTGGAAAAGACAGCAACCATTGTGTCAAGAAGATGAACAAAGTAGCAGTTTCATTCAACAACAAGCTCAATTCTACATCTATCAACTTGCAAAAGAACCTCTCTGGTCTCAATCTTGTTGTCTTGGATATCTACCAACCTTTCCTTGACCTTGTCACTCACCCAGCTGATAATGGTAATACTTCAGAAAGAAAAAAAAAAACCTTCTCCCCAATCTTGAATCTGGTACAATTCTGTTATTCCTTGTTATTTCCTCACACTTAAAAAATGTGAAAAAAGCATGGCCTAGCTAGTTTTCGGACCGGTAAAATAAAAAATAGTCAGTGTTTGCAAAGTCATTAAAAAATGACCACTATTTTAGCTGAAACACGGAAAGTTCCAGCATATTATGTTGGATTTTGGAGTTCCTGCGTATAAACTTCCAGCATATTATGAATCTCATATGTAAAAATTTTGAACTCCAGCATATTATGCTGGAATTTTTAAGGGTGTTTTTGTTCAAATTTTATCTTTACATGAAAAAGTGGATAAATTTTGATTATTTAGGAAAATATGATTATTTTTTCAATTACCAGTTGTAAATTAGGCTATTTTTGATTTTTTTTTCCCTTAAAGATTTGAGACATGTACAATCATTTACCATGTATAACACATATCGTGCTCTATAAATTTCTCCGATTCATTTATTTGAGTATTGTACATCAGGCACGGAACTAAATCTCCCTCCTCGGTAAGTTATAAGGTAACTTTTCTTTTTTGTGTATATAAAACGTATTGAATCCTCTAGACATAAGAGAAGCCTCACATCCGCAAATGTGGCTAAAAAATTGCTTTAGGTCACATGTTTGAACCCCAAGTGTAACATTCATGCATTTTCTTGAATTCCCTTGTTAAAATACTGACTTTGTCGCTATCGTAGATGATATAATAAGTTGTTCAAATGTTACTTCTCCAGGATTTTTTGAAGCAAGAAAGGCATGTTGTGGCACGGGATTGCTGGAGACATCCATATTGTGCAATGCCAAGTCTCCAGGAACATGTGCAAACGCATCTGAATATGTATTTTGGGATGGTTTTCATCCAACTGAAGCTGCAAACAAAATCTTAGCTAATGACTTGCTAATCAGTGGCATATCCCTCATCTCCTGATCTTTCTTTTTTCATCCTCTCACACTATATCAGCACTTTTTTTAACGGAGTTTGCTTTGAAATGTATTGTTGAATGGTCTCGTAATGTGTTATAAATTCTTGATTTTATTGCTGGTTGGAATAACATAAAGGCAGTGTTTGAGCTTGTAATAAATCTTTATATTGATGCAATTATACAAAATACTACTATCGAGAAAATATACGATAACATGAGTTCAGTTGTTGTTGGCAAAATTCCAAATTTGTTCTTCTTAAGTCTCAAATATGTTATTATGTAGGCGTTTGTGTTTGACCAAAATGTGTAAATCTTCGGTTAAACTAATTATTTTTATGTGATGAAGGATTAAACCTAGTTAACAATAATATTCCTAAATTTTACAGCTAGTTAACACTAATAACGCAGGATAATGTAGGTGAGGGATTAAATGTGGTGTGCATTTAATACTTCAAGAGGAGTAACGAGGGAAGAATATAATACTTCAAGAGGAGTAACGAGGGAAGAATATCAAACAATAAATGGCGTTAACGTAAATAAGGTGAATGATTTACCCAATATTGAATGAGGTGGGTGATTCTTCTTTCTGACAGTGATGAGTGACACACAAATTTTAGAATATCAAAACTATTCTCTGATCTAATGAAAAAGTATGGAATAATGGATGGTAGAATCTTCTTAGAAAGGTAGTGTTTGTATCTTTTCTACATAGAGTTTTCTTCTCAAAAAGTGCTCTTATCAGAAAGTGTTACATGCCTTTTCCCCTTATCTTTCTTTCTATTTACCCGGGACATATCCCCAGTTAACCCTAAAAGTACCAATACATAGAATATTCAATGGAATATTCCCTTAGATATCTTATTACAAAAACTAGCCGTTAGTACAGTCCTTGATACTTGACCTTGGCCGTTATTGATCGCCCGGCTACGAGCCCCGCTATCTACTAGTCGACCTCGGCCACACCACTTTCCATAATATCATTCCGCGCTAAATCCCATTGAGGCCGATTTTGACCTATACAGTTAGTCCCTCCTCTTATTGATGTCGACCTTGGGCGACCTCGATGAGCGGACTCTGTTAGTTATGGTTGAGAAGTTTAGATGAGCATGTCGAATAGTAGCATTTCAGATGGGGTGGAAACGTGGCCTTCTGTGAGCCGCAACCTAGGGTCACGTCATTTCAGAGTGATGTCATGTCATCATACGTTATTACTACATATTTTTTCGATACCTTGCATCGTTTTTCGTGACTCTGCCGCTTCGATTCCTGAGCTGGGTAATGACAGTTTGATTTCTCGATATTGATGCCTAAACTCTTATAAATAGGGGTACAAAACCCTTTGCCATACTCTTTGCCATCTAAATATTTGACCTTCATACCTTCTTATTCCTTCTTCATTCAGAATCCTTGCTCTTTTGAACTTACTTCTATATTCTTGCTTTTACTAATTCTGGTGGCTCCTGCTACTCGACTCTTCTGTGTTTACACCTCTTTTTTTCATAAACAAAGATGGTCAACGTGTCTTCTAGTTCTGGGGGGGGGGTACCTGACCCCATTTCTTTGGCAGTGCGCATGCCTCCCCATGACGATGGGGTTGCCATTGTTGCAGAGGATGAAAGCTTTCCTATGGTGGAAGAAATAATTCCCCCTAACGAGAAAGCTAGATCTGACTTTTCAAAACTGCCCGGGGACGACCCCGAGGCCACGGAATCGGTGATGGATGCGGTTGCTCTTGCTAATTTTAGGGCGAAGTTCAAAATTCTGGCCCACATCAATCTGGTCCCCGCTGGTCGTGACGTGGTGCAGGTTCATCAACCCGGATACTACGAATTCTACGCGTATCCGTTCTATGTGTGCTACTCATTTCCTCTTCTCCTATTGGAGGAGGAATTCTGCCGCTACTACGGCGTCTGCCCGACCCAACTATCTTCTTACATCTACAAACTCATCTGCATGTTAACAAAGTACGCGGAATTGGCCGGCCGCGGGATCTATTTTTGCCACCTGATGCACCTCTTTGCGCCCAGTTTCTATAGGGGGCGATGTTGCATCTTCGTCACCGTGGAAGTAAGAGCTTGGTAGTGAAGATGGACGATAAAGCGAATCATCGATTTTGGCTCAGCTACTTCTACGTCAAGACCGAGGACATGGTGACAAATGCGGATGGATTTCCTGAGGCATGGAATTATGCTCGTAAGTGTTTTTTACTAAGCGCTTATTTTACTCATTCTGATTGTAGCCTAACATTCTGTCTTTATCTCGTTCAGCTGAGACTTCTCCCCCTCCTTTGGTTGCGGATATTCACGACTGGGTTAGCCAGGTCTTGCCTAAAATAGTGGGGATTCGCGAATGGTCGGTCTTTTTCAATAAGTTTGGGCCCAAGCTTTCAGCGACCGGTGAGTTTGCCCGTTTTTAATCTTTATTTTTATGGCCTTCTGGTCGCTTGCTTGTTGTTTTGTGGGGATCAACCTCTTAATCTTCTTTTTCTTCTCTTTGGTTTCTAGCCCGGGGATCCTCGAGGAGGTCCAAGGCCCCTACTCCTGCGTTTTGCCAAATGCACACTACAACGGGGTCCGCCCCTGCTGTGACTGTAGCCAAGCTTGCCCGACCATCCACTTCTATTCGGCCTCCGGTTTCGGCTAGACCAGCTCGATTGTCGGCGGCTTCAATACCAAAAACTCTAGCCTCTCCCTTGCTTCATTTAATAGATGAAGAGTCTTCATCGAGGGAGGAGGATTTGGTCTCTCGTAAAAGGAGGTCGGTTGACGTTGGCGATGGGACAATCCGAGCCATAGATTCTACGAGGAACAAACACGAACCGGCCTCCGTTATGCCTGAAGGCGGTGCAAATTTTCCGTCTGAGGTCCTGCCATCAGCGGAAGTCGCAAAGAGCATGCCCCTTCCTGATTGTCACGCCCCAAACCTGGGGAGGCGTGGCTGGCACCCAGTGCCGTGCTGGCCCGAGCGAACCACTCTGTAAATCATTTTTTTTCTTCTGCAACTATCATGGGCCAACATGGCCACAACTCGTAATTTATAACAAAAAATTAGGAAAACGTTGTATCAATAAACCATCATTCTTAAAACATGAATACATACGGGCCGTCAAGGCCTCTTACATACTGTAGATAATGAACATGTGTCTACAAATCCTCTAAGATTATTCGACATCAAATGGGACAAGGTACCGCCCTACCTATAAGTCTGTAACAAAACTCTGACACGATGACTTATAGACTCGACTGCACTCCGAATGAGGTGGAGTCTTACCGATCCTTCGCTAAATGCTAACCTCGTCTACTATGAGGGCTCGTCAAACTGATTATCTATACCTGTAGGCATGAATGCAGCGTCCACAACAACAAAAACATCAGTACGAATAATGTACTGAGTATGTAAGGCATGTAAATCAGTATATAATGGCATGAAAGAAATATGGAATAAAGGACTCAACCTGTAAGTCTGGATAGCTATGTAAATCATGAAATATTTATAATATCATGCATATACGTATAAATGTCATATAATGCATAGGTCTGTGCGTACATAACATCATCAAGCCTACGAGGATATCCCATCATATCATCTCAGCCTCTGTGGGCAAAATCATCAACGTATACCAACTGATCAGGTGGTGGTACATATATAACGCTGTAACCTCTTTCCATACCCTATATACATATAATATATGCGTATATAATGCCATCTGGTCATGGGTAAATGCATATGTATAAATGAATGCAATGCATAATGAAGTAAGTCAATAAGATCTCTTGAAATATCATGAGACCCATGAACAGACGATATGATAGTAGGACACATGGGGAATCAAGAACATAAACACACCTAGTACGTCTATGAATAGAGTCATTTATAAAAGTTATGCGTTTGCTCGTTTTGTTTGTATCATATGGATCATGCCAAAAGAAAAGAAGGGATAGCCTTAACATACCTTACTTGATGAAGTTATCAACTACTTTCACTTGAGCTTTCCAAGAACAATTTTTGCTCCTTTAAATCTTTGAACAAGAACTAAGCACTTTTTATGATCATGGCATATTTCATGTTGCTAGACATATGGAGTATCATGGATGTATGTTTTTTGCTATGTTTCTAAAGTAAGAGACTCCCTAATAATAGAAAGAAAGATTTCAACTTTCTTTCTACATCTTAATTGCAAAAGAAGTATAATATGAAGGCTTAAAGGCTTGCATTGTTACATGTAAACAAGGCACACCAAGTGCTATGACTCATGTGCACATTGGTGCCACCCTTGGCCAACTTCATGCAATATGGAAGCCCACAATTTCCCCTAAAACGCCACCTAATCCCATAAACCAAAGAGTCACCATTTGGATGTTTGAGTCATTTTCACTTGTTGCCACATGGAGGATGATGTTCCCGCCTAACTTATCCACCAATTTTCTAAATGTGCCATCTTGCTCTATGACTTAAGAGTCATTTATTGGGCTTTCCTTGGCTGCCACGTTGGGAGGCTTATCAAGTCAAGCCTATCAAATTTTTTTAATTACTTATCCACCTATATAATTTGATGACTAAGCCACCAAAACTCCCTAATCTTGCCACCTAGCTCCAAGACTTGCCTAGTCAATATTGAATTCCCTACTTTCTGCCACCTTAATCCTTATAAAGTTGATTAGTCATGAGCCTCTCTTATCCTCATGATTCCACGTGGATTCATACAAATGACACTTATCCACTTATAACTAATTCCATATTTCATGACTTTATACCAACATTTAACCAATTATTCACACAATAATTTCTAGGTCTCGATTCAATTAAATACTAATATATTTCATATAACTTACTATCATGACCGTTTGGTACCTTGTATGACACTAATCCATAAATACGGAGTATTATAGCTTAGACCGTATTTTATCCCAAAATATCAAACATCAACGAAACTCGCCTTCTTCAATTTGTTTACCCTATGACCTTCACAACACTTACTTATCACTTGATATAAATATCATAAGAACTTATAACCTAAAAAATAGTCTTGTCTTTGAACTTATGTCAATTATCTTATGACAAATCCAACGTAGAAAAGTATGGGATGTAACACTAATGCCAACGTAGGAACTAGTGGAGTGTCCGTGGAGGTTCTAGGTACTGTGCGACGAGATATGCCATCGTCCTCGCGGCCAGTTAATATTCCCACCTCATTTACCAATGAGAGATGTAAGGGGGTTGCTGATGATGGTTACGAGATGGGCTCCAATATGGACCGCGAAGAGGTTAGGATGATGGGAGAAGGACTCACCCAACTCGAGGTGAGATTGGAGGGAACTACGCGGACCATTGCGATCCCTCTGGATCGGGATCTACTAATTGATACCGAGGATGTGGTCCCTTTTCTTGGTCCCCTCTGTTCTAACGTAGAGGGTAAAACCCTCAAGAAATTGAAAGATTCCACATTGTCGAGGAGCATAGCCGACCTTGCTCTTAGGGTAAGTTGGGTATTTCATTAGTATGTTCGTTCATGTCGAATCCGATTTTATTCTTACTCGCTATGGTTTTCTTTTCAGACTGTGATCTTGGAGATCGAAAGCTCCCGACGAGAGGAGAGGCGGAAGGCCATTTTTCAAAAGATGGAGCGAAAATATCACGAGTATCGTGATAAGCACTGCGAGCTTTGCAGGCGGCTTGGTGGGAGTAGCAACTTTCGGGCTCTCCAAAATGAGCTAAAGAAGAAGGATGACGAATTGGTGAAGGTCATCGAAAAATGTAGTCAGCTTGAGGGGGCGTTAAAGGATAAGGAAGAGGAGCTCGAGGTGAGAAGGGGAGTCGAGCCCCAATGCGCCAACCTTCAAGCCCAAGTGAGCTCGTTGCGGGCAATGCTTGAAGAAAGTCTAATCAAGGCGTATGTTCTGGGTGGTGAGCTCGCCTAAAGGATAGCGGACTTAGAGAAGTCGGAATCGGACTGGTTGGCGGCTTTGAGGTAGGTAGAGGCATCAAAGGCCATAATTCGCGTTCTTCGTTCAGAGCGAGCGAGTGATTTGGAGACGGCGAGGCTCAGAGATGAGTGACTTGATTGAGTGATTGTTTTGTAACAAAAAAAAATAGTTTAGTGATCTTTATGACACTTAAGTAAAGTTAATAATTTTTTCGTTATAAAAAATAGTTTAAGGACTTCAGTGTAATAAATTTTAAGTTGAGGGACCATAAGAAATTATGAAGAACATTGAGTTAAATTAAGAAGAGAAAACTATAAAAACAGAGGTGTGTTTTGAAAATTTAATGGTGGGAGGAAGATGGACTACAGTTTAGCAGCACTGAAATTGCTGTGCTCGCAACTAAAAGATGCCAAAGAAACCGTCACCCAAAAATCCAACGCTGCTTTCACTCTTGAAGGCATTCTCTTTCAACGCGCATGGCTCCAGGTTCTCATAACTCCTCCTTCTTCCTCCCCCTTTCCCCCTTTTTTCCCGTTTAATAATCCTCCATTTGCTTTGTTTTCCCAATTTTAATTGCAGGGTATTTTGGTTTCAACACCTACAGCAGATTCCTCCGGCCGATTCCTACTAGATGATGGCACTGGGGTCATTGAACTCCTACTCACTGGCGACTTCCTCAATCTTTCTATGGAAATAGGTCAGTCATTTTGTTTACGGGAAATTATACATACCTCCCTTGGGGTTTTAAATATTACACAAACTTCCCACAATGATAATACTACTAATAATTATGCCTATAGGATACTTCAATATCCATGTTGCTCCATTTAGATTTTAGGCCCCTCTCTTTTTTCTTTTTTCGGGTATACTATTATTTTTTATTTTCTCCATTTTTGTGTAAAAAGGCTATAGGTTAATCTATTTAATATTTTCATATGGCTCAATAATTTCCTGCTCTATTTTTCAGCTTGAGTTTCATTATCATTTTTGTAGTTACTTTTGTAAATGTGGAGAAGTTATTTGAGAAATGTTGAATGGGTGGATGACAAGATTAGATTTTTGTTCTCTCTTTTTTTTTGGGGTGGGGGTGGGGGGTTGTAATTGTGGAGTCCAGCCTAGTTGATGTGCTCCTGAACTGCTCCACTGGGTACATGCTACCTCGCACTCGCACAGATATGCCGTAATTATGCTCGCCTAGGCTTAGGCAAAGGGGAAGAAATCACTTTTGATGACAAGATTAGGTTTTTAATCTAGAAAAATAAAGTTAATGCACAAAGGGCTACTTATTTCACTTATAAAATAAAGATTAAAATGAAGTTCCATGTAATATTTGAATCATGGGAACTCTATGATACTGGCTGAAAGCTTAAGGGAGTATGTGTCATCATCCCTTGTTATTGCTCTTGCTGTTATTATATATTTTTCGTAGTCTTGGTATCCGGGTCAGCTTACGTGCACCTCGACTAATTTCACGGGATACCTGCTACCTACCACCGGCAACAGGTAACTCTGTCCACCAAGGCTTGAACAGATGAGAATAAATCACCTGGTATTTCTTGTCTCCCTTGGAATTTGAACTTGAGATCTCATGGTTCTCAACCCATCTCATTGACCATTAAGCCACACCCTTGGGTGCGTTATTACTCTTCCTATTATTTTTATAGTGTTTTTCTGCTGTTTAAAATCTGTACTTCTGCTTGCCTTCTTCTTGAACAGGAAAGTATATTATGGTTGTTGGAGGATATTTTGTCCGGAAAGGAGGCCTCCCGTTTATTAAGGTAAGATAAACCTTTCCCTTCAAGTAAATGACCACTTCATTCATGTTAATTTAGGATTTTTCTTGTGTTCGCTTGCTTTAGTGTGGTGGAACATTTTGTTCCAGCTTATTGAAGGTATCGTTTCTTTGACTGCATCAAATTGATCAAACCCGTAAAACTACTAATTGCATTGTTGTTTTTGAGGGTTTGATTGCCCAACTACCAATAAAATCTTTTCCCTCTCTTCTAAATCCGTCTCCATTCTACTGTGAAAGGAAGTTATGCATTGGGTTTAATGCTCCCAGAGTCCTTAATCCTGATGTCTAATGCTGAACATTTTATTAGTTTACTACTACAATATCAAGATTTACTCGTGCTCTAAACCATAGCAGTTAAGGCTGCTTGCTTAGCATGGGTAGGAATCTATAAAAGTAATGGTTGAGAAGAGTAGGTACTGATGAGAAAGAGTTACAGTTGAAGAAGATGTAGCTTTTGTCACCATTATGCTTCTTTAACGTTTGAACCAATCTCACGTAGTGGAATGTTGATCTTCAACCATATCAGCAGCCTTCTGGAGTCATTAGTCAAATCGCAATCGCATACAAACTAAGCTTTTGTAATTGGTCTATCAAATCTTGACCTTCCATTAACTGCAAATAGTATTTTAGTCTTTCAATCATATTTCATTTTTATGCCTGAACTCAAGCTCTACAAGAAGGAAGCTGAAACAACCTAATGTATTGCACTTGTTAAATTTCCATCTTCCTAGGCTTTTTGTCTCAGTTGTTTAAGCTATTCAGGATCAAAACAAAAGGACTTGTATCGTGTTTCTCCCTTGCATAATTCAGCAGAGTATGATATATCTTCCAGCTTAGCATATTCATCATTGGGATACTCTACGTTTTTGTACTGGAGGACCTCTGGAGTTATTCTCCTGATAGGACTGAGGGACTTTGGTAAGTAGCCTCAGGAACTTCCATTTCAAGAGTCCAAAAACTATGTGGCTCCAGTCCCATCAAGCATGCAATATTTCATAAATAGGCCAAGCCAAAATCCTCCAAATTTAAATGCTGTAACCTGAATGTTAAAAATTACCGCTGTTCAAGAATAAAGCACGGATTATTTTTAGCTAGTAGCATCCCAAGCAGTTTATTATTTCTTAATCCAAAGTTACTGAAAATAATAGCGGACAACCTAAAGGTGGTCAACAAAATGCATGTTAAATATTTTTTCTTCTATCTTAAATCTTGTTTGTTCAGCTTAGATTTGTTTGATTGAAAACTCTGAGACAGATATTTGCCAACCTAAAGGTGGTCAACAAAATGCATGTTAAAAATTACCGCTGTTCAAGAATAATGTTTGATTGGCATATTATTTGCCAAGTTTAGGAGAACAAGTTTTATTCTCACTCATTGCAGCAGATTGTTATGTCTGGCTGTATAGCATTGATATGAACATAATCACATATAAAAGCAAACATTGGGGAAAATGGTTAAAAGCCGATGAAGTAATAACTATAGTGTTTTTGAAAGAGAGAAGAGGTATTCTGAGCTCATCGATCATAGGTCTTCTGGCAGTATAGATCAATTTTAGAAGCATTATTTTTCATTATACATGGGCTGAACTTGCACTTGGGTGAAACACTAGTTGTCTTTGTTAGAATTGATAGAAAAGGAGTCCAGCCGTTTTCAGACCATTTTAACTCAACCTGTTCTGGCCTGTCAATATATCACCCCCGTGTGTAAAACGCTTGAAGAAGCATTCGTTCTGCAATATGATGGGAGGCCATTTTTTCTGTAGACATTCCTATTAAGGTAGAATATTAGCAGTGTACAAACTAGATCACCAAATAAACCTATTAGACAACAAGTAAGACTGCTCACTCAGCATATTAGAAGTTTGTACAGCAATGAAAATATACATTAGCTGGGGAGTGAGGTGTTATAGTGGGAGATTGTACACCTTCTGGCTCCTTGACCTTATCGGAATGTAGTATTTCCTCACCTTTCCGCACCAAGGAAGAGCAGACAAATGATCGACCTACCATTGAAAAATTATCAGCTGAGCTTGGTGCTTTCTTGGTGATTTTACACCTAGTGAAACATCTGAAAACCGACTGTTTTTAGAGGATCATCACTTGTAATCAATCTGAAAAACAAGTCTATTTGATTAATCAATGTGTATTCCGAAAATCTATTGCTTTATTAAGGTCACCATGTCTCTTGTTTCAGTTGAACCTTTTTATAAGATATTTCTAAGCATCTTCTCCATTTCAGGTCCATAAAATTGTTGACCTTTCTCGAGTTCCTGATCGAGAAGCAATGTGGTACCTAGAAGTTGTTGAGGCATTTAAACTCTTCTACCAACTACCTCCATTTGAAGACTAATTGAAGAGTGAAAAGGCAGCAGGAAAAGAAGAACTGAGGTAGGTTTAAGGAGATATATGAGCTTGTATGACAGTACCAAATGGAGTTCAAGTCTGACAAAATTTTGTTATACCCCATCTGGATTTTTTAAAATTAAATTAACTTAATATGTTAGTAACCTTATGGGGGCAGTAATGTTGTTGTCTTGTATCTAACTTTTATGTTGATATTTTCTGATTTTAGTTTAACCAGAATTTGAGACGGAGGGAGTAATGTTATTGTGTTATTATCGATTTGTTTTTCTACTTGGAGTACAACAACAAACCTAGTGTAGTCCTACAAACGGTGTCTTGGGAAGGTAGATTGTATACAAAATTTACCCCTACTTGGAGTAATTACTAAATTAGAGATGAATTTATAAGTAGTGTGCCATTTTTGTAACCTCCACAAATTGCAATTTTAACTTCCACAATTATCTTTTTTATGTCGTGCTACTTATGAGATTTTGCATTTGGTGAATTTTGCATTTGGTGTTGTTTCGCGTTCATTAAAGTAGGTGAAAATTAGGGAGATCGAAATTTCCAATAGGGTTAGAAAAACACTACATTCAACTTGCTTAAACTTAATGGATAATTTACAGTACACAAAGTGATTCGATCATCACTATTATTAAAAAAGAAAAAGAAAATGAGGGAAATACAATAAAAATCTATCTAGTGATATGGGCAACAAAAGATTCCATTTCCTTGTGAGCTGCCCCACCATCCATCACTGACAATTTCACAGCTTCCTTCAACTCTGTAGCTCTCTTTTTCATCTCCTCTCCCTCCGACGACGCCATTAAAGTTTTCACAACTTTCTCAATTGTCTCCGCCGGCACCACTTCATTTCTCTTCTCCCACACTCTCACCGAAATTCCAATTTTCAGTCCTTTAGTTATCAATAAAGCATTCCTCGGCTGATCAGAATGCATTGGCCATGCCGCTATTGGCACTCCCATTGAAATACTTTCCATGCACGAATTCCACCCGCAATGACTCATGAATCCACTTGTCGCCACGTGTCCCAAAATCTCCAATTGTGGTGCCCAATCTCTTATAACAATTCCTCTTTCTGCTACCCTTTCTTCATACCCTTCAGGTAATTGACATTTCCGTACATCTCCAGAAAATATGTCTCCTTTATCCGCATCCCGTAGTACCCAAATGAATCTCTGCTCGCTCTGTTCCAACCCTTTCGCCAGCTCTTTGATTTCTTCTTCGGACAGCGAAGTTGTAGATCCGAATGAAACAAAAATCACTGAGTTCTCAGTTTGTTTGTCGAGCCATTCCAGTGAATAATGGCGACGTTTTTCAGCATCAGGTGTTGGAATTGGAATCTCCACAGGATTGAATGGACCAAGAGCCCAATGTTTAAAATCCTTAACGTACGTTTTTTCAATAAGATCTAAATACAATTGTTCAATGACTCGAGACGTACTGAAAATATTCCCAACACCAAAAACCCTAGCTTGTAGTTGCTTCTTTGCGAATTCTTCCAATTCAGGAGAGTTGCAACCTTCGAGAGAAGGAATTTGTTTGAGTACAACTTCAGCTTCAGAAGGTACAGGTGGTCTAGCTGCATCCCAAATGTAAGAAAATATAAGAAAAGCAGAGACAGTGTGAAAACAGTAGCACTCAGTATTAGGAATTTTAGGAACATCCTGAACAATCCAGGAAGTGAGAAAATCGTGCAAAACCACTACTTTTCTAGCCTTAGAAGACAGGTTATTTACGAGCTCTGCCACTGGCTCGCGTAGTTGGAGCGAGGAGTTAAACGCAGGGACAAGTTGAGAAGGGAATTTGATGGAAGCATCAGGATTAGGAGGAGGGACATCAAATGAAACTGAGAATTCGGAGAAATTAAGGTTCGGGGTGTTAAGTGGGTCCCAGCCACGAGCACGAGACTGAGCCTGGCGGACGTGCGCGACGGTGCTGACGTAGTAAACGGGGATGTTGTGGGCGGAGGCGAGGCGGCGGGCGAGCTCGAGGAATTGGTGGAGATGGCCTTGAGCTGGAAGAGGAACCATAACTACAATTACACTATGTTGAGTTGCATTTGCTGCATGGTTTGTGGTTGCCATTTTGTGGAAAGAAAACTGTGAATGGAAAGAAAGAAGGGCAAAATCAGAAATATATGGGCAACTTTCAGGTTGCTCAAGCGGAGTAATTTATGATGCCAACTCTTGGAGTTTTCTCGAGTGAAATGATGTTGTACTATTGCTAGTTATTTTCAGGTCGATGGAATTAAATAGGAGTAATAAATTTGGGAGTAAAGTTTTCACATTTATAAAGACTAGGAATCCAAGACTTGTCAACTTGTAACGTATCGATGCTTGATTGTGCTTTGGGAGATTTGCAAAAGTAACTTATGGGTGGACTAACAATAATAACATATTCCGAGTAATTCCATAATTGGGGTTTGATCGTACTCCTACCTTGTGAAGGGAGAGATATTAGTTTCTGATAGACACTCGGTTTAAAAAAAAGTATAAAATACAATAATTTTGAAAAAGAAATACGGTAGTGAAAAAGTTATAGAAAGAGAAGCAGTAACACCAACCAGAAAAATAAGGATAACCGAAGCAAAATAAATAACAAATAGTAACAATTGTCTAAGAATAGAAAATACGAGAATAGTACTATTACTTCCTTTATGGAAAAGAAATACAGGTATGACAAATAAAAACGTTCGGCTACGTACTAACTTGCTATCCTAATCCTCGACATCTATGTTTTTCTATTAAAGATCATATACTCGATAAGCTGAATAAATATTTCGCAAGTTATGCCGGGAGGAGGCGGAGCATAACTTTAGTATAAATTGATTAAAACATTTGAATGTATTGTTCAATTGTTCATAAATTATGACATGACTTGTTACTATTCTTATCCCTCCTATTTTGTTAAATTATTCATAAATTTTACGGAATTGACAAAAATTTGCGTGTGCTGTTCCATAGTAGACAAATTTTGTGGGAGTGGAAGGACATTAATGGAGGCTATGCAAAAGTCCAAAATCTTTAATTAGAGCTCTAACACCATTCTGTTTCCATCTTTCCACACTGTCCTTAGAAAGGTCCGAAAACACATGCCGGGATTTCGTCGATTTTGAAGCACATTAATTTAGCCATTGGATATAGATTTAATTGAACTTCAAAAAAAAATAATTAAATTATATTAAAAAATAATTTTTAAAAATTGAAATTATATTTGGATATACATTTTATTGATAGAAAAATTGAAGTTTTGTGAGGGGTAGAAAAACTTTCACCCAAAAATTATCTAAATCAGTTTTTCGGAACTTGAAAATTTTTGAATTTTTTTTTCTTAAATTTTAATAATATTTTATAAACAAACAATGTTTTCAAATAAAATTTAAAAAAATAAAGCCAAAATTTATTGCAGGAGCTAAATTTCTGAAAGATGAAAATTTTAATGGGAAATTTTAAAAGAATCAGGAATCCTTATGTTTTGTAGCTTACGGAGGAGAGAAAAGGAAAAAGTTATGTCGCTGGGTTTATATTGCAAGTTTAATACTTCACAATTTATGAGTTATACTGTGCAAATTTATACTAGTGGGATCAATAAATATCGGATATCAAATGATTATTGAAAAAAGAGAGAAAAAGTAGGTGGTACAGGGAACTTATGTGCTTCGGACAAAATTATAAACATAAACTAGCTACACGTGTAGTCTGACTTCAGTTTTTGCAAAAACTTAATTCAAATAAATGCTACTTGAAAAACGTTTCTAATTTTTTTTCTAAAAACTGGAAAGCACATCGTGAGTAATTTTTTATTGTAAAAAGATAGTAAGCCGGAAATAGTTCTGGATCCCTCTGAACTCTGAACTTCGCAACTTTTCTAAATTTTGCAATTTTATAGCCTCGACCCCCGAACGTGATAATCCATGAGAGTGTGACACATGTGCCGCCACATGAATTTTTTGTTTTCTTACTATAAAATATATATTTTTATCTTTTTAAAGTCCACCAACTATTTAAATTATTTTTTTCGTGCCAAAATCTGCATAAGTTTTTTTAAAACAACATTATTTTGACTATAATTTTTTATTTGGCTAAAGATAATAATATTTAATAAGTTACTTTTACATATTTGATCAGGAAAAGAAGGAATACATAGTTATAAGATATTATCATTGCATCTAAAGAAAAAAAATAAGATATGTTGTTGGAACTCCATATATGTCAAATTTTTCAGCTAAGAATAGTAAAATTCTGACTAAATATTTGCGAATTTTATTACTTTGTCTAAATCTTCTTTTTATTTGGCTAGAATAAATGGAGTTTCAACTAACTTTTGTAGATTTGGACCGGGAAAAAAAAGAGATAAGAACTACATAGTTGAAATATACATTCATTGTATTTTAAAAAAATATAATTGGGAAAAATATGCAATGTAGATTAAGAAGAAACAATGAGAAATACAATTGGAATAAATAAATTATTATATTTGATTATGTAAAAATTAATATTTAAAAAATACCCCATTTGAAAGTTAATTTTTCGATTTTTTCACCCTCTCATGCATCTAAAAGAGAGTGTATTCACGCCCTTTGCCATATCAGCATCTAGGAGGGTTAAGACTATCAAATTTTCTAGTTTACAGGGTATTAAAGATCACGTGAAGTTTAAGGGGAACTAAACAAAAATTGTCAAGTCTAGGGAGTCTACATTTAATTAGGAAAAGTTACCTAATATATATATGTCGATCTTGACACTTCTTACAACTTGTTTGGATGATTGTCATGTATCATTTCATAATATATTGTATAATATTGCATTGTATTGTACAATATTATTTTGATGTATACAATATTTGGATATATTGTATTGTTTGTTGTCGTTTCATGATGTCATGCACCAACAATATGAAGAATTAACTTGCAATATTATAAAGAAAAAGTAAGGTATGAGGTAATATTATTATATAAAAAGGTAGGGTAAATGATAAAATATGATTATTTAATAGTAAAAAAGGTAAGATAAGAGAAAATAAATAAGGAAATGACGCGACCGCACCAAATCGATCGTTTCATAAAGTGATACTTTTCGTCATTTCGTAACGACATATTTAACGATACGATACAATAAAATTTAAGTAACAATCAACATAAATATTATTTTTAAAGTAACAATACGATACAATACAAGGTAACAACCATCCAACCAAGCTGTTAAAGACAAACGACACAATTCTATAGTTTTCCCCCTTTCCCTTTTTCCTTTGCTTT